ATACAATACGCCTTGTTTTTAGCAAAGCATCTCATGAAAGTCTCTTGTACTCTCTCGTGGACAAACGCCAACATGTGGATTTGACAAAAATTCCATTAGATAGATTCCAAGCTGACAAAACAGCCAGGTCCAAAGAAGTCAGTAAAGGTTTGATGCCTACGCTGAAGAAGGTCTCCAGAGTACCCCAGGGATCTGGGCTGCTTACCATCAGTGACTAGAAAAAAGGAACAGACGGGGGCTCAGCAAATCTGCAGATGACACACAGCTGCGAGAACACTTGATGACCAGCAGGATCCAAAAAGTCAAGGGCATCCTAAAGGTTGGGCTGAATCTAGTCCCCAAACACAGAACTGGGGAGAGACAGGTGGTTAAAGACAAGTTAGTAGGAGAATGAACTGGGGGTTCTGGTGACATGCTCAGTAGAACACCACAAGGTGACGGGGAAGCCCTAAATGCTGAGACTACAGTCAGAAAGACAGCTTTGAGAAGGAGGTATACAGATCTAGCTGCATACAGGGGGCTTCTCCCAATACAGCATAAGCCCCTGGGAGACAGGGGCTTCTTTCTTTGCATGTTCAGTGCCTACCTAGCACAGTGCCAGGCACACAGGAGGCACCTGACAGAACCTTGTCGAACTGAATCATCTCAACTTAACTGTTTCATTTTACTGGACCATTCAAAGAGAAAGCGTATTCAAGAATGAGGCCAATAAAATCATCATTCATGGAGTTAAAAATGGCTCCCAAATTAGTAAACTGCCTTGGTCCCTTTTCTTTAAGTAGCTAAATAAACTGGACTGACTTCTTAAAGCCACAATCACCTAGGGCTCCCAGGACCCCACATCAGCCTGACTTGGAGCACTGGGCCTAGAAGTCCCACCATTCCCCCTGGGTGAGCCGGGATGAGCTATGTGCAAGTGTCTGCAGGGCTCTCTTGGGGAGGAGAGCTCAGACATGCTCTGTGTAGCTCCAGAAGGCCAAGCTGGGACAGCCGAAGAGAAGCTAATCTGGGCTTGATACGAAGAGAAACATCCTAACAGTCAGAGCTCTCCCTCCAAAGGTTTGTCCTCCTTGGAGGTCTTCAAGCAGAGGCCAGATCAATTGTCAGGGATGTCACAGTGGGCACTTCTTTCAGGGACGGATGGGCGCACTAGGTCCCTTCCAGCTCTGAGAAGATGCAACAAACACTAAATCATTGCTTCTGTGTGCATATAAAGAGGCCCATGCATGCTAAGCGCTTGGGCTGCAGCTCAGCTCAATCTGCCCCAACCAGCCCTATCCACAGCCACTCATCCCCTCATCCTGACACATCTACGGGGCTGTTTGCCAGGCAGCGGTACCAGGCCGGACTGACTCCCCCGGGTCAGAGAAGACTGATTCTGAGAAACCCAATCAGGAGTTCTGAACTTGGGTCCATGGACAGACTTCAGGGGTTCTATGAATGTTGTCTGTCTAGTTCAATAACTACATTTCAATATAATTGACTTTCCTTGTAATCACATACATTTTATTTTACATATTTAAAAACTTCAATCTGTGAAGGGATCCATAGGCTTCACTGGGGGTGGGGAGAAGGGCAGAGTACATTACACATGCTACAAAGGTTAAGAATTCCTGGATTCAAAGGTCCAAGGGGTCCCTTCCAACTCTGTAATTCTTCCAAAGCCTTAAAAATCTAAAACTACTTCCAGCAGTGAACACGCATCCACCACGTCCACATACATGAGAGCAAGCTCAATAACAGGTAACATTTACCTATCCCTTTAAGGGACAGCCCATGCAAATTCTGGGAGAGGGCAGACCAAATACCTGAGTTCAGGGAACAGCTAGCAGGCCAGTCTGGGTGGCATGGGGGATACAGAAAGGGAAGTAACAGGAAACAAGAAGAGTTTTGTTATTCTATCCTAGAAGTAACAAGGAGTCACTGACGGTTTCTGAGCCGAATAGCGACAAGGTTAGACCTGGGCTTTAGGAAAATCACTTTTGGCAGCTGAGTGGATAAGAGAGAGACTTGGGGCAAGCAGGAAAAAAGCTATTGCGATAGTCCAGGCAAGGGACAGAAAAGGCCTGAACTGGGTTTGTGGCTGCATTGGGTGATAGAAAAGGACATATCCAAGAGACTCTGTGGAAGAGGGATGCTGTGGACAGAGAATCAGCAAACTTGGCGACTGACTGGGTGAGAGACAGGAAGAGAAAAGACTCAAGGGTGACTGTGTTGTGAACTTGGGTGACTGGGCCCTGGTGCTTTCCTGCCCTTGAGAGCAGTCATTGGGCAGGTCTCCCATCTTCAAGTGTGTGGGCTCCAAGGCAAAGGTTGGCACCTTACTTTTCAGGATCCCCCACAATGCCCAGAGCAGCAGGAGCCCAAAAGCACCACCCTGTCAGTCGATGAACACTTAGTAAGCACCTACTGTATACCAGGCACTATGCTAAGCACTAGAGATACCAAAAGGTTCAAAAGACCGCCCCTGCCCCTAAGGAGCTCACAACCTAACAGGTGAGACATTTAAACAAATATGTACAAAGAAGCCACATAGAGGATAAATACAAAATAATTAAGAGAGGAAAGGAACTAGTATTAAAAGGCTCCCTGTAGAAGTTGGGATTTTAGCTGGGACTAGAAGGCACTTGTGGAAGCCAAGAGGCAGAGGTGAGACACAGCATCCCAGACATGGGTGGCAGCCAGGGAAAATGCCTGGAGCTGACAGACCCTGAGGGGGATCTTGTCAGGGGAACAGCCAGGACCAACATAAGAGTCGGAAAAGAATCCCATCAATGCAGCCTCCACCATCTATGGGAGCTGCTGAAATCCTGGGTCAGGGAAGGAAAAGAGAGCCAAGAAAAAGCCAAAGAACCCAAGTCACAAGAAGTGTGACTCAGGCCAGACCTTAACGTTTCCTCCTTCCATCTCCCCTTCTCCCAGGAACCCTTGCTCTAGTCCTCCCCCAACTCTGACATCCACACTGCTTTGTCAGCAGCAGCCAAAGACATGCAGGATCACTGAGCAGCCACTGGTTTTGCAAGGGGGACCTCAGTCATCTAAGTCTAAGACCCTTCCCCTCCCTCCCTGGGCTCCTGGAGGTTGGACTAAAAGACCTTTGAGGTTTCTTCCTGCTCTGACAGAAGCACAGTAGCGTGAGTTACCAAGAAAGACATTGGACCCAGAGTCAAGTATCATAAGACTTCAAAGCACTACAAGGACTCAAGACCTTACCTCAAGCAGCTCTCATTCTACAAGGTGATAATAGTCCAGAGCTGGGCTGTAGGAATGGACATACCACCTCTGGGTCATGATTGCAAGACACGTCAGGACTCTGCCCATTCCTATAAGTAATCATCACTGACAGTGAAGTAGTACTTTAGCTAAGGCCACGTGGGCTCAAGTCCAGCCATCACCATAGATGGGCTCGGGGGGCTCTAACGGTCTCCTAGGAGGGAAAGTTAAAGATAAGCCCTCCGTGACAGCTCCTTACTTTTAGATGAAGCCACAGGACCAAAGAAAGATTTGCCACAACTGGGAGAAAACCAGGGAAGAAAATGCTATCTTTGGAGTCAGAGGTCCTGGGCTCAAATCCCAGCTACCTATGGGACCTAAGCAGATGACTCACCTCTCTGGGCCTCAGCTTCCTTATCCATAAAATGGAGCTGGGACTTGATGGCCTATAAAGGTCCCTTCCAGCTCCACTCATCCTGAAGCCCTAAGAGGGGAAAGGACTCTAAGATAAGGACTACATGAATAGAACCCTAACATGCAGAAGGACAAAGGCAAGAGGCTCCTGCCAATCTCTGCCTTGGTGAGCCAGATCCCACCCAGAGGCCAGCCCTCAGCTCTAGGTGCCATAACTGAGGAGAGCACTAAATGATAAAGGCATGGTGAGACCTCACATGCCTGCAGGATTGTCCTGGGCAAAAGGAAGCAGGGGAAGGCCTTTTTTGTGTCTCCTTATCCCATAGCAGAGTACCTAGTACACAGCAGGCCTTTAATAAATATTGACTAACTAGGAGCAATCAGCAGTCCTCAGAGAAGGAGACTGCAGCTCAGAAGAGACCATCTCTTAAGCTGGCTGAGCTGGCCAACCACAGGATGGGCCTTATGAGGCTGCAGGGACATTCAGTCTGCTGTCCAGGATACTGGAAAGCCAGTTTGATGCTTCTGGCAGGGGCTGTCTGCAGGCCCTTCCACCTCTAAGATGCCTTTCTTTCCTCTTTCTACCACCTCACAGAATTCAGACTCCCCTCTGTCAGCCCTAATGAATACATGATCTCCAAAAAAAAAGCCTTTATGGTTCATTCATAACTGAGTGCAATGTATGTATTGTATTGTATATGTTACAGTCATGGACTATAAGCTTTGCAAAGGTAAGAAATGTGCCTGTGCAAGTCTCCTTGAGAACGGATGGTCTTATAATGGGCACTGCACCATTTGAGGTCGATGCTGCTGCAGAAGGCTGAGGAGCTTGGAAGCTCTTCCATAGCACTACTGACCTACAAGAGAAGAGCCCCAAAGGGACAATGTGGGGAGGCTATCCAGTTCGTTTGGGGTGTGCCTCCAAGAAATGAGACCTTATTCAGAGCCCCTTTCTCCCACCCAACTCAGTCTGAAGCAGGTACACCACAGATTTCTCTCCAAACTCACCTGGGCTCATTCACGTTGCACGAGGCAACAAACTTGCTCTCCCCTCCTACCCCCTAACTGGGCAACCCAACCCAGGCAGCCCATCTTCCCAATGTCATTCCCGCAGCCAGGAGGACACCAAGCTGCAACCCCCTTAACTATGCCATTGCCTCATCCCCTAGGCCCCCCCCTTCCCCTCTAATCGCCCACCGTCGCCTGTCTCACCATTCTTCCTGTCTCCCCAATTCCTTGCCCCGCACCTCGTGCCCCTCTCTCCACTGCATCCTCCAGCCCCTGCCCCTGTCCCTGGCTCCCCCAGCCCCTGACTCTGCTCCCCCAACCCCCACCCCGCCTCCTGGCCTGACCCGGGCGGGCCTCAGTCTTACCTGCTCCTGGGGCTCGGGAGCTGCGGGGGCCGGGCCCGGGACTCGCGGCTCTGGGGGGGCCCTGCCCCCAGTCGCCCGGCGGGCCCCCCCCTCGGCGCGGGCCGGGCCGGGGGCTGAGGGCTTGTCCCGGGCACGAAGGCGCTTCATGGGAGCAGCGTCGCCTGTTGGGCGCCCGGCCCCCCGGCCCCAGCCCCGGCCCCGAGCCCGGCCCGCAGCGGCGGAGGCAGAGACAGCCCCCGGGCCCTCGGGCCGCCCCACCATAGCCGCGCCGGGCTGCGGGCCGGCCCACGGGCGGGCGGGCGGAGGCACTCGGGGGGTGGCGGCGCGGAGGCGCCGCAGCCTCCTGCTCCTCTTCCTTCTTCTCCTCCTCCTCCTTCTTCTTCCTCTCCTCCCGGTCCGCGGACCTGCAGCCCACGGGACGGAGCGCGGGCAGGGAAGCGGGAGCGAGCACCGCCTCCCGCAGGCTCCCAAACTGCTTCTAGTTCTCGGCGGCCTCACTCCCTCCCAACCGGCGTTGGGCCCGGCAGCCCCGCCCCTAGACCAGCAGGCCCCTCCCCGGACCCGCCCTCTGAACTCTCATACGCATGCGCAGGGGGCAAACACCGCCCAACACCACAGGTCCCGCCCCTGGATCTCCCCGCCCCCAGCACGCGCTCCCGCGCAGACCCCTCCCTGACTCTCAGGCCCCGCCTTATTATCTCCCCTCCCCGCCCCTCCGCCCCGCCGGAGCTGACGCACGCGCACCGACCCAGCTCCACCCCTGGCACCGGGGGCCTCACCCCCAGGACACGCTTACTCAAGCTGAGACTCCGCCCGCTCACATAAGGCCCCGCCCCATCAGGCTCATGCGCATGGTCAGCTGGCACGCCTCCCTCCCCATGGCCGCGCGCCCGGCCTGTGAGCACAGAGTTGGCGCCTGGGGAGGGCGTACATGAGACGCATCCCGCCCCAACCTTACCTGGCCCTGGTTCCCCTTCAATACTCGGGCTGTGCGGGGCAGGGCTCCTTGGGTAGGCCGTGGCTGCCCCCCCGGAAGCTCTCCCTGATTTTTCCCTCTGGCCGGGGGGAAAGGGCTGTTCCCCAACGGAAGGCTTAGGCGGGGAGGGTCAGCGGGGCTTGCCGAGTGTGTGTGTGTGCGTGTGTGTGTGTGTGTGTGTGTGTGTGTGTATTCCAGCACCGGCCCCTCCGAGCTGGAATGGTGCTTTCAAACCTTTGGGGCTTCCCCCACCCACCCCCATTGCGAGACCCAGAGAGGGGAAAAGGCTTGCCCGCAGCCTGGAAGGAACAGAAGGCCCCGCTTCTGAAGGAATGCCATGTCCTCCAGACTAAGGGGGAGATGTGAACAAAGGAGGGAGGAAAGAGAACAGCTGAGGAAGGAGGGAGGGAGGAGGTGGCCCCTGATTTGGGCCAGGAAGAGGGGCTAGCAGCCTAACCTGAAGCCCCAGCTTGGCGCTGCCAGGCTGGCTCTTGTGGCCGGATGCGAGGCTCTATCCCCCCCAGGTGCCTTCCAGCGATAAATTACAGAAGGGAAGTAAGTTACAGACACAACATTGCTACACTGTGGGTTGCAAAGACCTTGAAACAAAGTAATACTCTACCCATCTATGGGGGAGGGGGGAACATGGCCAAATGAGGCGCCTGAATGTGAGGAAACATGACTTGAGTTGACAGAAATGAGGAGCTCTGAGGGTCATGGCCTCACAGAATCACGGACCGTCAGAACCGGAGGGGACCATCTACAAAGGCCCTCACACCTACTCAACATACTGGCTGGCCTCTGCTCAAAGACCTCCAAGGAGGGGAGTCTGCCAACTCTCCAATAGCTCTGCTGTAATGCTTAGCAAGCCTAAATTGACTATCCCATCATGCTCTGGGTCCTGCCCTCTGAAGCGAAACCTAACAAATCTAGTCCCTGTTCCATACGCCCTCCCTTCCCATACTTGAAGACAGCTATGATGTCATGTATGGGGTGGGGGCTCCCAAGTTTTACGTCCTCCAGCCTAAGTATCTCCAATCCTCATTGGATGTGGGCTCAAGCCCTTCACCATCCTATTGCCCTCGTCTGGATTCTGTCAAGCTGTTCTTAAAAATGTGGCACCATGTCCTCCCTATTCCTGGAACTTTTGCTTTTCTGAATGCAGCCTGAGATCCTATTAGCTACTGTAGATACTTTATCCCCCTCCTGACTTGTATTGAGCTTGAAGTCCACGAAAAGCCCCATATCCTTTTCAGAACTGCTATGTATTTGCAAAGTTGATATTTTTGTGCTCAAGTACACGACATGTAACCCTGTGGGATTACATATGATAAGACTCAGCCCCATTCTTTGGACTGCCAAGATCCTTTTGGATCCTGACTGTCCTCTCTCCTCCTTACATAGGAGCCACCCCCTCTTGGCTCGGTATCATCCTCAGATTTAATGTGCACAAGGCAGGGCCAAGATGGTGGAGTAGCAGGAGAAACAGAGGGAGCTCACACACATCCTCTCCTGCCCCATAATTCATCCAATCACTCAGGCAACAAGCATTGATTAAGCTCCTACTCTGTGCCATGCAAGAAAGGCAGAAGATAGTCCCAGCTCTCAGGGAGCTTTCAGTCTAACAGCAGGACCACACACAACTCTGCATAAACAAGATAGAGGCCAGATAAACTGGAGATAATCAAAAGAGGGAAGACACTGGGGGATGTGGGGGGAGGGGACAACACAAGAAAGGATTCTTTCAGAAGGTGGGATTTTAACTGAGACTTGAAATAAACCAGGGAAATTAGGAGGCCAAGATGAGGGGGGAATGAGTTCCAGGCATTGGAGACATCCAGTAAAAATACCCAGAGTCACAAGATGGAGGATCTAGTGTAAGGAATAGCAAGAGGGTCAGTGTTATTGGGTTGCGGAGTACATGGGATTGGTTATTGTCCTTCTTAGTCAAAGAGGACATCGCTACATCAGGGTCAACGTACAGTGTCCGACTGTGGCTGACAGGACCAATAGGAGCTTGGGAAGGCTCTACCATAGGTCAGGCACAAATTGTATGAACATTCAGAAAGAGGGTGTTTTTGACTGCAGAACAGGATCCCTGCCTGCTGCAGGAAGCGGGCCAGGGTTAGGTTAGGTAAAGCAGACAATTTTTAAGGGACCTTTTCTAGCCCCTTTCTCATGCCAGGAGGTGAGCAGTGCTCAGACACCCAGGGGGCTGCCGAATTCTACAGCTGCTTCAGTCAGGTGAGAAGATGTTCCTATGGCCTGGGCCACCTGCATGCAGCGTTATGACTACAACTCCCAGTGTATCTGCTCCTGCTGCTTCGTCACTTGCCCGTCGCCACAGGAGGTAGGTAAAAATGATAAAATGGTATGGGTGACATCTTTTAACTCGTGAGTAAATTGGATTTAAGTGAGGCAGAGTTGCACAAAGTTGTTGGCCTCTTGGTTCCAGAGTCATCAGAGTCCAGTGGCAAGACAAAATCAAGATAACTGGTGATGGCTTGACACGCAGTGGATGACCCTGGGTTCTTCCTTGTCTAACCAAGCTTTAAGTCCCTACAAGCACCTGCTTCTGCTGCCTTTGTGGCCACTGGAACATTTCCATCCGCCTATTCCTCCAGGGAAGTCTTCACATACTTGGGGTAGATACCTTCCCTAACTCACCGACAGGTTTGAGGCCCGTCGCTTACCCTCAACCTGGTTTAATTTATCCTGTCTGCTGAGATGATTTTACCAGGGTGTGGCCACTGTGTATGCTACAGCTTCTTGGAGCCACAGGTGAGAGTTGGGTAGCCGGTAGACACCAGAGGTGGACTAACAGTCCTCACACCACAGGTAGTACTTACCCTATGCCCCTACACCCACACTACACATGGGGTAGAGGGAAGGGAAAGAAGTAAAAAGACTAGAAAGGTAGGATGAGGCCGGGTTATAGAGGGCTTTGAAAGTTAAACAGAAGACTTTTATATTTGATCCTGGAAGCAATAGTTCTAGAAAATGCACCAGACCAAATCCTGATTTGGAAAAACAAAAATAAAAATAAAAAAATCACCATGAATCACCAGGTCAGAAGAAAACAAAGGAGAAAAACAGAGGTTTGTAGACACAGATACTTACTGGCCCTCTGACCCTGGGCAAGTCAGTTAATCTGTGTCTGCCTCACTTTCCCCAACTGTAAAACGGGGATAATAACGGTCTCTACTTCCCAGGGTTGTGGGTTTGGTCCATAGCATGTCACACAGAGCACTCTGTCTCAGGGAGAGGCTGTACAACACTGCAAAAGATGGCAGATCTAGCATAGAGGAACCTAGTCCTGAATTGGGTGCAAGAACAGCTGCCAACTGGCAACTGTCACTCACTACCCAGTTCCAGGTCACAGATCCAGGGAGGATTTAGGAGGCTACCTTCATTGCAGGGTGAGGAGGGGTCATGGGCGCCAAGCTGTTGTTATTCACAAAAACAAACCCCGAAATCTGAAATAGTATTAGAAACAAATTTATTGGGTCTTTCAGTAGAGGAGAGCAAGCTGGAAAGGAGGTGTGGCTCCCTTTCTCCAGGCTCTAGAAGGTTTACATTCTGTAGGGTTTAGACAAGGGTACCCACATACAAACCCCACATATGCAGTTGAGCAATTTTGTGGAGAGGGCAACTTAAAAGCAAGGCAGATTGAAATGGATATGAGTAAATGCAAATATTCAATAAAATTTAGGCAAAGCCAAAACAAATGTTGGGTGGATCCAGACCTGGGAAAACACAAAATCCTTTGTAGCTTTCCCTGATATTCCTGGAGAGTTACTAAGGTCAAGGCAACACTGGTTTCAAATAATTTTCAGTTAATAAGTTTTTCAAACAATATAACAAAGCGTTTCCCGCACTGTGCATCAAAAGCAGCAACTATGTGACACAAAACCTAGAAGCAGAGTAGGGTCTCAGTTCCAGCTTGTAGTCTACCCTAAAGCCTTCAAAGGAATTAACAAGGCAGGAATCTTAGACCAAAAGGACTCCTTTTGTTCTGTCACTGATCCAGAAGAGCTTTCCAGTTGGCTGGTAGTCTCTGAGTCCAGGAGCAGTCTACTGGAATTCCCAACAGGACAAGCCCGCAGGAATGTTGTTCAGAACCAAACCCAGGTCAGGAACTTGCAAAGCTTAGACCACAGGTCCATGATCAGACTTTGTCCTGGATCATACCACTTTGGGAACATTGAAAACTTACAGGTCCCTAGCCTTAGCTGTCCCTGAAATCCTGGAATAACACAACACTCAAAAACTCCATGACAGTAACCAGAGGATCAGCCTAGGCATCCCGTCCAGAAGACCACAGAGCCCAGCACTAACAAAATCCAAAGTCAAGAAATAGGAAAACA